GTTCGAAAAAAGTTTGAATAAAAAAAACGGCCGACATCTGTCAGATAGGCACGCGCCGGCGCGTGGCAACAGCCAATAGGAGAGCTTCGCAATTTAAAATGTTTTTCGATGCTGGCAATATGGCGTGCTTGTGTTCTTTTTTCGAAGAAATTTGACATTTCGCGGGGTTTTTGACCTCTAAACACGGGGGTGATAGGAATTTATAATTGCTTTTTTTAGTTGTGCACATTCTTGATCACTGAAATTTTGTTTTGTAGGTTGAGTTTAGGGTATCATTACCATTATCTATTAGACTAGGTATGTCTTCTGAGTTTTTTGGTGTTACTTCTCAAAATAGTCAGGTAAGGAATAACAATATCTTAATTTTTTTTAAATAGACGTTGTTCCATTATTTATTTATTCGTATTTTTTTCGTATAATACGGTAGATGACAACTAGTCTTTTATCGAAACGTCTGAAACGATATTGTTCTATGAATTTTGTACGAAATACCATCTTGTGACGTCATCATATTGTCGCATCAAATAGCACACTTACTTATATCTAAAAAAAATGCTAGAATAAATCGAGAATTAAGTATATCGGCAAATCAATGAATGAAAGTGTACCTAACATTTTTCAATCTATACTATAATATTATAAAGCTGAAGAGTTTGTTTTTTTGTTTGTTTGTTTGAACGCGCTAAACTCCGAAACTACTGGTCCGATTTGAAAAATTCTTTCTGTGTTGGATAGACCATTTATCGAGGAAGGCTATAGGCTATAAAATATCACGCTACGATTAATAGGCGCCGAGCAGAGCGACTGAAACTTCGCGGAAGTAGGACTGAAAAATCAAAATAATTTATTTTTGACCCAGGAATCTACCCAATTTCGACATTGCGATAGTATTCTGCTATTCAAAACAAACAACAAAGCAATCATGAAAGTCTGTCCAGCAGTTCTTGAGAAATGCTGATACAAACTAACACGAGCGTTATTTGTTTTAATTTTAAAACAAACATTACTTGAATGTTCTTTGTTATGAATATAGAATTTGTTTCGTTGTCTCTTCTGAAGTTATTTGTTGTTTTATTTAATTGTAATAATTAAATATTTAACATAGTTAACAAATATCGCGAGTGCCTTTCAACCTTTACTAGTTAATGCCCGCGGTTTCGCTCGCATTCCTGTGGGTTAAAAACTAGCCTTTATGTTATTCTAGACCACAATCTATCCCTGTTACAAATTTTCACATAGGCAGAGGTGCACATTATGCCACTGTACAATGTAACACCCAATATTTACTATTTATGTTACAAGTCCCATGTAATAGGTGGTAAGCCTATTGCCATATACCGGGCACAATTCCAGACTCCGTACTACTACTGAGATTTTCTTAAAAACCCAGTAATCCTTTGCCCGACCCCGGAATCGAACTCGAGACCCCTTGCCCGGTCGCACTTGCGACCACTCACCCAACGAGGCAGACATTGGATGATTTTTATCTCCTTAAAAAGGGTTATAACGTCAAGACATTATTTTCTCAAAGGTCCTTTAAAAGACAAAGGGCTACCCAGAATAACCCTAGACTTAGTAGAAAGTGCATTAATTATTATTATTCCCCCACAAAATATGTCGTCGCGAGCCACATTGCAAATTGCCAGATGCGTGGACGCACCTTGCGTTGCGCGCATGCGTCTTTAGGCCCCTCCCTCTAATTTCTTTCGCATCTGTCAAAGTTGTTTTTTTAAATAGATTAGGATTAAGCCACGGTGACCTTTGTTCCTTTGTTGGGTACTGTTATAATATCGTTTTAATTATCTGTGGCGAGTAAAAGGTGTTGTGTATGATACCCGGGTCGGGAAAAGAGGTGTTCGGTGGTCAGAGTACCATTTATGTATTGTAAACCTGATTGGAAAAGAGTAACCTATGGAGTTTCTTGCTCGTTCTTCTCCATAGGAATCTAGACCTTGGAATGAGCAAATAGCTTCACTTTAAATTTTTTGTTGACGTTCACAAGTGCTTTCTTAACATAACATAACATCACGCCTTTTATCCCCGACGGGGTAGGCTGAGGTGTACATTATGACACTGTACAATGTAACATTCACTTTTCACTATTTATGTTATGAGTCCCATGTAATAGGGGGTGAGGCTATCATCCATCTATCATGATTCCATGATCAGATCCTGACTTCATGACAATGGGACCAAATGACAAACCTACCCTTTGAAACAAAAAAAATAATTTTTGAAATCGGTCCAGGCGTCTTCGAGTAATTGAGTAAAAACATTTAAAAAAATACAGTCGAATTGAGAACCTCCTTCTTTTTTTTGAAGTCGGTTGAAAATTACAATGGCGCTTGTTTTACAATAAATATCTATATTTCATGAGCTTTCATTTGAGGTAACATAACATCACGCCCTCTATCCCCGAAGGGGCAGGCAGAGGCGCACATTATGCCATTGTACAATGGCATAATGTGCGCCTCCGCCATAATGGCGTAATGTGTAATTGTATTTATGTAATGAATCCCATGTAATAGGGGGTGAGCCTATTGCCATATACCGGGCACAATTCCAGACTCCGTGCTACTACTGGGAATTTTTGAAAAACCCAGTAATACTTTGCCCGACCCGGGAATCGAACCCGAGACCCCTTGCCTGGCAGTCGCACTTGGGACCACTCGGACAATGAGGCAGCCTTCATTTGAGGTATACAAATTCAACATAGATGGACTAATAAAGTGCTCAACGCAACAAACTTATGCATTTATAATATTAGTAGAATAATAGAATAAAATAGTAGATTAGTAGATGTTCAGTTCTTATCTACCCCTTTAGGACCAGAGTTTTTTTTTGTTGTGGCAACCGAGTCTCCAATACAATGTTGTCGACTATACTGCCAGTGTCGGGTGGTGACGGCAAATTGAGGCACCGTCGAGTTTTAACTTTGCGGTAGTTATTAGTTGTTAGTAGCTGAAAAGGACAAAAACAATTGGGTTAGTAAACATATACCGTCAATAGACCTAAAATTACAATAATATTAACTAACACATAATAGATAATTAGATACATATGTGGGAGACAATTATAACACACACAATATTTACATGATTACACACCGTTATATTTTAATATTATTTTCTTTCATAAATTTGGACAAACACTAAATTAATTTGAGAGAAAAATTAGTTAGGACGGAGTGGAAGTTGATTGGAAGAGGGATTTGGATTTTGGGAAGGATTCCATATAGATCTAAGGACTGGGAATTTAGAGGGTAAGAGAAAAATAGGACCAGAGTACTTACTCTTGAAATCAATCTCAATGTCAATGCAATTTCAATCCAATTAAATCTCAATAATTATTCAATATCAAAACTATACAACCACAATCGTAGCTGTTACAATAGCATTCAGAGTACGGAATATAAAGCCAAACTCAATACCATTTAGTTCATTCAATATCCACCAATACAGACGCAATGGGCGCTAGTGTTGCAACTCAAGAGTACGAAATATCACAATACCAATGTCGATCGATCGGAATTGGATTCCTAAGCCCCTAGGTAAATACTTAAAAACTGCACATTTCGCACGCACCAATTCAATTACGTTACGACTCCTATTAGGACCGACCCTAATACCAAACACCAGCTTCCCTTGCCAAAAGGAAACTGTTAACCTTATGACACGATTAATTATTAAATTGGAGAAATTAAGCGGCTCCTATTAGGAGGGTGACATCACTGCTTACGACAACTTGATAGCAGGTGCCATGTTGAACTGAATAATATAATATCATTCAGTTTAAGATTTGAATATTGTTAACGTCTTTTTGATTTCGAAATCGTAGTGGCTCGGACGTTTAAGACGCCCGCTTCTCATACATGAGAGTGCGTGTTCGAAACCTACCAATGGCACGTACCAATGTGACTTTTTCCGAGTTATATGTACTTTCTAAGATTATCTAGACACCACTGACAAACGGTGAAGGAAAACATCGTGTGGAAGCCTGGACTTATAATTATAAGTTTGCAATCGTCAACCTGCATTGAGCAAGCGTGGTGATTAATGGTCAAACCTTCTCCGCGTGAGAAGAGGCCTTTGGTCAGTAATGGACACTTATAGACTGTTGATGACGATGATTTCGATATTTCTTTAAAAATGGGTTTCTATAAAGGGTTATATAACTTTACATAAGTAGATAAAGGTCCACAATTCCACATAGGTACACAATGTAACACCTACCTTGCACTATTTATGTTACGAGTCCCATATAATAGAGGGTGAGCCTATTGCCACATACCGGGCACAATTCCAGACTCTGTGACTGAGAAATTATAAAACCTGGCAATAGTTTGTCCCACCCGGGAATCGAAACCGAGACCCCTTGCCCGGCAGTCGCACTAGCGACCACTCGGCCATCGAGGCAGTAAAAATTGTTGAAATTCACTGTTTATCCAACTCCACTAGTGATCAAACTTTGAGCTTGAGCTTGATTTAAGATCAACAAGTTGTTATACATCAGACACAATCTGAAAATTCGAGACATCACTGAGAAATTTGTGAAAACCTATGAAATCCCTGATAATACCGAAAATCCAGTCTCCTTTACTTCGCAGTAGTACCATTTTACCAACGAGGCAGTTTCTGTTTTCAACTGACCATCATGTAAAAATCTAAATCTTGTCAAAATGAAAATCTAATCTAAATCTTGTGAAAATATCATACTTAAACTGTCAAACACCAAGCGGTCACCGGTGACCGCAACCTATTGTTCTATAATTGTGTCTACAAAACCGGTATGTTGTAAGTTAAGTAAGAAGTTTGGCGGTGCCCAAAAAGACAATTTTTTGACAAAATTTGTTCTAACTATGTAGGGGTCTATAATTGGAACATGGAAGATAGCAACGCCAGTAACAAACTCAATTAAAAATCGTATTGTGGACTTTCTAGCTAGTCTAAACAGCCATTATAAACAGCGTTACATTTCGCGTTACAAGTTAATATATGACCAACCAAACATTAACACCTTTATGCCCGAACAAAGAGCTTCAAGTACTTACTACATATTTCTAAATGACATTTGAAATTAACTTTTCACAAACCATCCCTTTGTCCTCTGCATCTGCCTGATCTGAAAATACCTATCTGTTGACATTCTCCCACTACTTAGCATCTATCTCACTTTAATATTTGAAAAAGAAAGAGAAGTCGTAAGGGCTGTAGATGCGCACGCAGCTTTCCCAGAGCCCTTGCTTCGCGTAGAACGTGCAACGCTCGTCACTCACTCCGCCGCCGGATCGCGTCGCGTGCGGACGTGTAGCGTCCAAACTTCGTTCGTAAAGTGCGTTATGGATATCGCGAGTTCGTAATTAATTCGTTACTCAATCGTGCGTTCATTTCGATTATCGTGTACTCTTAATTTTTACGGTGTTTAAAATAATTATGATATAATATTTTCTTTTGTTTTCGACGGTTTATTTGGATTGTAACCTTTTCGATGATGGGCGTTAGTGGTTGTATGAGCGTGAGGCAGGCTAGGGGCTCCTGTCACTGCCCCGCGTGCCCTAGGGCTTCGGGCCATGGGGTACAAATGCCCCCTCAAACGCTCGTACTCCCCCCTATGGCCTTAGAGCCAGAAACAACCCCTGTGAAGGATAAAAAGGGATCCAAAATGAAGGTCCTCAAGAAAATTAAGAAAAAAATCGGACTGGGTGAGTTGTTAACGGTTTTCTTATTCCTTTTTTAATTTTCAATGAGGGTATACGAAAAATACTATTTTTAAAAATCAGTTTACTATTTTTTCCTTTTATAAATCATTTTTAATTATAGTTCTATGGTGTTGTATGGCCCTATTTATACAAATACGGTCGTTATTACATCGGCTTGGTTTGTAACGGTCCTTAATTCATGTTGAAAGCGATTTTATCTACGTACGTTACGGAGGTACCCTCATGATTTTGTTTTTTTACATTTAACATTACATTTTTACTTAGCGACAGTTCCTTTGAAGTCTTTCTTGCTTTTAGAGTTCAAGCAGTTTGTGTTTATGAATTTTTTGGTTAGCGATTGAGAAAAAGTAGGAGATTAGTGTATTTTTAAGTGTTTGCGTGTGAACTGAAGAAAACGACATGTTGAGTATGTTTGTTAAGCTAATATTATACTTACTATTTAAATATTTGGACATAACATCACGCCTTATAGGCAAGTGTACACATGTTAGATGGAAAACGGTTTTCGACAGTTGAAGGATGAAGGGCGAAAACGCGTGCAGTTATTTTTTTGTTTTTTTTCTTGTCGACCCTGACTTTATTATAGGTATACTTTACAATCACGTTAAAGTAATAAAAATCAAATGCCGTATCGTAACATTGTATTGTAATCACAAAACCTAAGATTAGCAAAAAAAAAATTATGCCTTCAAAATTGCCTGGGTTATTTTTTGCTACAGTTTTTTTTTTGTTTTATCTCTTTACCGGCGCCTCTATAGGAACTGGTGTATGAATTTTAGAGGCTAGAGTACTCTTGTTTTAAGGGAGGGGATCATTCAATAACTTCTAGGTGTGGTGAGAAAGAGTGTCAGATTTTTACTGCCTAAAAACCACCCTGTTCCTACTCCTGCTTCCAGCCGGGCTCCGGTAATCCGTTAAGCCATCCGCAGAGCTAAAAGGTACGCGTATTAGACAGTTTACTACATCGTCGACAACGCACTCATGACACCAGTGTTACAGGTCGCCAGCACTGGCAGGGTCGCCATGCAATGTGAAACAATGAGGGAGACGTGTTACTGTTAGTAATAACTTTAATTGAGTGCCTTAAGAACTACACTAGGTACTTACTTATAGGGCGAGGTGTCACACACACTTCACAGGTGCTGTAGGTGTACTTAGACTGCCGTGTCTGCTTACCATCAGGCGGGCTGTAAGCTTTGTTACTATCGATATAGTTGGTAGTATAAAACCTATATAAATCACGGCGATTTTAGATTCATAATTTGCTTTTTGTTAAAAAAATACTTATGGCGCGTGCCACCTGCCTTTAATTATTTGACCGAACATAGACGTTTTTGCTTTTGTTTTTTGTTTCTAGTTTAATGATCACCTGCCTTGCACCTTGCTTGGTGATAGAAAATGTATGCTAATATTAAAACCTCTTTGCTGGAGTGGTCTCGTCGCGGAGAACCTAACGGGTAACCGGGGCTCCGGCTCGACGTGCAGGAGAAGGAACGGGGTGGTTTTTTAGTCAGTAAGAGTCTGACACTCCCTTCCGCCTCACCCAGTCGGGAGCAGTCATTCGATGATTTTCCCCCCTTAAAAAAAAGGGGGTCTTCAGACTATGTGGGGGGACAATATTCGAATGACTTCTCCCACCTTTGTGAGGCGGGATGTGTTACTTACTGACTAAAAACCACACCGTTCCTACTCCTACACTTCGAGCCGGAGCCCCGGCAGCCTTTAGCGTTCTCCGTTAATTGTGCCCTGATGACTGCCATTCATCCCCTATTACTTACACGGGACTCATGACATAAATGGTGAACGTGGGTGTCACATTGTGTATCTGTACTTTAGCCTATTTCTTCGGTATTACAATTTTGCGTTTGTTGGTGCGTTGCCCCCAAAAAGGCCAGCAATGCACTTAGGCCTGGTGTAGACAGGTCGCTTCCAACCTCGTGATGTGTAGTCATTGGGGGGAGGACTATGGGAGGCAGTGGACAGTACGTGGCTGTACGCATGATGATGTATAGAAATGGATTGTGTGGGTAAAAACCACAAGAAAGAATATAATGTTTTTCCTTAACATTTTTTTGAAATTATCCTCAATCAAAGATGTTGCATTTATATTGCGTCATAGTAATAAAATATAAGGAAATGTCAGGCAATAATACCATGTGGCTACGGCAGCTACCCCTAGTCTTCCCGCGGGTTCGTATACCTGACTAAGGAACTACACATTCGACAGAGACCGGGCAGCAGCGCTCTCTGATAAACCTGAACCTTTTATATTGCGATGTCCAACCTGAGAGCGGAGATGATGACAAAACCTTCTTATGTAGAGGAGGCTCATAGTCCAACAGTGGAGTATCGTATATTGTTGATATGAAATTACGAAGCAATCTCTTTGTATTACGCAATTATTTGTATCAATTTCTTCATCTTCTTTAAGAGGTCAAACGAACATTCACTCGCTTTTGCACATTTAAATACGTATTTCACAATTTATAGTAATTGTTATTAACATTATTAAAAAGTAATTTTAATAGGTACAAGAGCTTGTCATATTTCGGGACTCAAGAATCGAAATAACAAAACATAATCGAATTCCAAAGGTGTTGCGACAAAAAATGATCTCAGTGAATTTACGCTCGCTGCTCGGCTCCTATTTGTCGGAGCTTGATGGTTTATAGCCTATAGCCTTCCTCGATAAATGGGCTATACATCACAAAAAGAATTATTCAATTTGAAACAGTAGCTTCTGAGATTAGCTCGTTCAAACATACAAAATCAGGGAACGGACAAGAGTCCGTGGAGAAAAACAAAACTATTCTAAAAAAATCATAATTTTTTTTTTTTGTTGTAACTATAGTATATTTTAATACTAGAATCTTTACATTAATCGTATACGTGTTCTGACTACTTCTTCGAGGATTAAAAAGTATTTTATTGTAAAATTTTGTAAGTACAACAAAACCAAAAATATTTGTCCCTATTTTCTTAAACGAATGGCAATTTGTTACTTAGACAATAGATCAATTGGGCACCAGATGTTTTCATCCCTGTTCCGCCTTTACATCCTTAAGGCTGGTCCCTATTTCCGGCGACCACAGACAATAGACCAGATGTGTTAGGAACTTAATGGTCTTACAGTTTTGGCTGGGAATTCAGAACTTGGACATCTGGAGTCGGAATTTTTTGCAAATATTTCTAGTGTTGTGAGTAACGATTTTTTTTGTTTTTTTTTTTATGGTTTAGTGAATTATTCGTTGTTGAAACAATTGGTTTTTAACAGATGTTGGCGTTTTTTTTTGTTTGTAGGTAGGTACTTACTTACTGGTACTGAGATTTTTACATGTGATTTGTTTTTTTTTTGTTTGTTTTGGAATCTGTTTTTTTTTGTGCCGGATAAATCAATTTAAAGACGTTAGTTTCCGGCCGAAATTAATAACTTGTCTCAATACTAAATCGATTAGGATCGATTTGGACGGAAACTCGATACAATAACCAAACGTGATTTCAAAATAAGGACATATATGGTGATACTCCTGAATTTTTTTCTGTGTTATTTCTCAGAGTACTTAAATAGGAAATGCCAGACGCTACTAGCACATTGCTAACATATTTTTACAGAGATAAATATCATTTTATACACACTTAGTTAGACATGTCTTAGATCCACTTACTAAGCTCCCTACAAACTTCTTTCGTAACAATCAACTATACAGGATGTCTTAACAACTATACAGTATCGGTTTTTCGTTAGATCTTCAATTTCGTCCGGTTTACAATCGTGGTTTATAATCGTGATACATGTGTGGTCAAAATTACACCTCATGAAGAGAGGTCGTGACTCTCGCACGGCTTTTTTAAACAAATTTGAATCATTATCCTTTAAAGAACTAGGCTTTTGTTTTGTATCGCTGTAGTGGGGTTTAGGGTGGTCGTTTTTTGTTTATTTGTAGTCTATAAGTGTGATTTTTGAACGCCATTATCATTTGTACAAAGTCAAAATAAAGACTATAATAAGGCACTTTTCAAAGTCGAAAAACGAATAGGTATCTGAAGATAAAAGTGTCTGTCAGTTAATCAAAGTCAATGTCGACATGATTTATTTTAATTAGAGAGGAATAGTGAATATTTCAAAGTCGAAAATCTAATCTTAAAGACATTAGTGTTAGTCTATGGGTCAATTTTCTAGTGAAGCTATTTGCTCGTTCCAAAGTGTAGATTCCTATAAAGCAGATCAAAAAACTCTTGAGAACACAATTTTTCTTGAGCCACGAACTGATTTATACCGAATCTATCTTTGTACTAAAATTCATCGAAATCGGTCCTGTAGTTTTAGAGTTAGGCCAAAAAACGTTACAGAAATACTTTCTATTTTATAATAATTATTTTTTATTGGATAATTCAACACAGGAAACCGACACTGCCATCCTGTTTTAGTTATTTTCCCATCATATTGTTATCAATATTTATTATTCTTTTTTAAAATAATGACTAATTTAATGTATGACTCGTTTTCAGAAATACCTACTGTAATGTTGACATGTAAGTACCTCTAAACAGTGACGCGTGTAGTGTAGGTGTCCAGTCAACTGATGGTAGCGAGGTTCACTGTCCAGTGACACACGTACGCTGGTATCGTCATGAGCTAATGTTGACATGTAAACAGTGGCTCGTGTAGTATAGAGATTGTCCTTACGACTGATCGTAATCATAAGATTTTCTCTGCAGTCTTTTTAACTGAGTAGCACATATTTATCACCACCGTTGCTCTTCACGTGGGTGTCGTACACCCGACTAAGGGGTTGCACAAATAACACAGGACGTCTATCCAGCAGCGCCCTTGTAAACCTGAACCTTTGGAAATTGCGATCAACCTGCATGCTAGCGGGGACTATGGCAAACCTTCTTATATAGAGGAGACCCATGGTTCAGCAGTGTCTATCTGTTACAGGATATTTTTTTTATGGTACAAGCCCGCCACAACCTCCCAA